GGTCTGGGCCTCCCTTCTGAAGCTGCTGCCCCCGCGACCCGACCCCGGATAGGCGGAAGAAAATGGATGAAAATGGATGGATGGATGTGACAATTATTGCTTATGTAAAGCAGATAGTAAAGATATGAATCAGAGAACTGATAAAAGGGAGCTCCTACAAGATGATATCTTGTCGATATTTGAGCACTTTTATTTGCAAAAAAACAATAAATCTGACTGATGAATGCAAAGGTTTATGCTAAAAATGGCCCTTCACAAACCAACATGTGAACAATGTTCACTTTTCATACACAAGTTAAACTTAAAAAAGACAGTGATAAACAAATTTATCTGGGAGAGTTCATGATTTTCTCCTTGCAAATACTGTAAATACAGGCATCCTTTGCTAAGCATTAGCATCCCTTTGCAGCAGACTTAACATGTCAGTCATCTGGATGGTGGAATAATTTAAATAGATTATGCTCATTATGCAATAATTGGCCTTATTTTAGATGGAAATGTCATTATTTAAAAAAAAACACGTAAAAATGAATCTTCATTAGAGATTGAAAAATATTCCAAGTTCTTGTATAATGAGCATCACCAGGCCTCAGATGGTAAAAAAATAATGATGTCTTGAAACGTCAACAGACTTTATGGTGTCTTTACAATGACATCATAGCTAGGTGTTCATTATTATGGGGAGTAAAAAACTAAAAATGAGTAAAGCTGAGACCAGTCCTTAAATTCTGCAAATACACTGCCACTTTCTGAGACTCGGACAGCGAACCGTTTTGTGGCGTTTGTAGCTTTTTAGACAAAATACCAACACACTGAGCTCTGACAACTCAACATGAATTTACATGAATTGGTTCAGCATCTGTTTTAGCATGCCCTGTTTTTTTTTAATGAGTGTGGGCTGGGGATTCAGGAATAGAAACAGCTCTGTGAATGTAGCCACCTCTCTCTGTCTCCAAGAGCAGCGCCTCAGTTGTGGCAATCACAGCAAAACAAGTCAAGTATACATGAGGGTTATGCAGTGTTCCTGGTTATGTAATTGTTTTCGCTCTATTTTTTTCCCCCGCCGTCGAACCTCAAAATGGAACACACAACATGTCAACACGGAGTATGGGACTCATTAGCGTAGAAGTGGTCCATTAAAATAACCACTGTAGTTCAGCAGATTCTATAGTAAGGTCTGGATGAGCCCCCTACCTCTACGAGTGGGTGCCAGTGAGCGATGGGTTTCCGGGGGTACGACAGCATCTCGTTCCAGTGGTCCCGCCCCAAACTTTCGGCCTCGTTGCCAACCCGGCAGACACCTATCACCTCATTGTGTCCGACCCTGTGGAGGATAGGTTCGGGTTAGCTGCAGGACAGCAGTTAGAGCAGCAGGTAAAGTGGTAGATGTACAAACCGATCGTAATCCATGACGGCTATGAGCAGGCTGATCTGATCGATGTTCTCAGGAGGAACATCAAACACGATGGCTTCATTGTACACCGGGTTCAGGGTGTTTCGCTTGGTTGAAGTCTTTCTTTTCTTCAACCTCCTTCCTTCACACATAAGGGACACTTTCACGTATGGATCTGAAAAAAACAGTGTGGTACATTTACAAAATGTAGGGAAAGGAACGCTCAAATATAACCAGCTGTGCTTCCAATCGAGTCCATTATGATCAAACACTTCACAATGCTGATGTGAAGAGAATAAGCCTTACTGGTTATCTTTTATTTGCAATGTAAGGGTGTTTTTACACCTGATAGTCTGGTAGACTTGGTTTGACTGGGGAAAAAAATGCAACATTTGTTTAAATTTTAACTGCGAGGTTCACTTCCACACTCGCCTGTGGTGGAGCCGCACCAAGAACCAGTGAAGGAAACAACAAAAATTCCTCTGTGCAAATGTTGCCACTACGCATGGTTGTAGTAAACAGGAAGTAAAGTCACAAACTCTCAGGCACCTCACATCTCAGGACAATGGAGTTAAGTTATCAGGAACATGTTGCTGCTATCAGGAAAGCTGTAACTATTCTGTCATATCAGCTAGTATTGGTGATGTTACATGCTGTCTGGAGACGTAGAAAAAGAAATGTTATTCTCTTCACGTTACGGGAATATCCAGGAAGTCACCGACAGCAGGAGGAGGGTCCAACTGCAGCCACTACAGTTATTGTTCAGCAGGAACAGCTGATCGAATTAATGTTCACTACATCAAAACTTATTCAGCAAATGTGTTTCCATCTCCACCTTTCTGCATTAAGTTTTTCAGAAAATCCAAAAACCACATCAAGCGGGCGTAAAAACCTTTTTGCGAAATTGTGGAAGTTTCGCAAATTTTTTTCCGTTTCCCTCCATCTTTTCTTATGTGATACCTCAAAAAAACGTTGATGGAAACACGGCTAGTGTTGCTAATGCTATCACTACGCTACAAACAAAGAGCCATTGTGGGTCAGGGAACGCAGAGCATCTCGTCTCCTTTGGGTTGCGGCAGGCTTTTGCCAACGCCGGCCCAAAATTAGAAGCATATCATTGCAAAACCGCCTTTGAATGAGCGTCTCTAAATGGTATTGCAGTTGTATTGACATCACCGGATCTTTCTGCGTCTGTGCTCTGTCCTGCTCCCGTCATTTCTGTCCAATGGGAGCAATGACCGTCAAACACTTGGCTTTCTTTATAAATTAATGTGCAAAAAAGCACAATATGAATGCAAACTGCACCAAACAAAAAAATAAAGTCCACTTTTGGACCCTTCGTCTTGCTTCTTAGACCAGACTGCATCAGCCTTACTGATGAAGATTGTAACTAATAAACCTTGAGCAGTTTCAGAAGTTGTGTGTTTCATCCCACTAAATCTTTCCTGTCCAGTGAATTCGCCCGTCCATCAGCACCCACCTGAGGCTCCGGTGATGTCCATGGCTTTCAGATTTCTTGCTTTAATTATGGTGATTGTAAGTCTGCCAGCGGTGGGGAGATAACACAACGAGAACATGAGCTCTCCGAGATCCACGTTGTCCTAAAAAAATGTAATAAGATTTTATATTAGCGACATTCATTCTCCCCTCCTTTTGTTTTGAGAGTTTAATTTACTTTTTTAAGTCGTTACAGCAGATGGTGCTTGAATTTACAGACTGAAGTCCAGATCCTTGATGCTATAAAGTCTGAAGGCTGGCTGATCAAAACAAACATTGTGGACTCAATAATAAACCATAACGGGTGCCTGGGAGATAAATATTAAAAATCTGTTTCAGGGTTTTGAGCAGAGACTAAATATCACCGGCTGAGGACCAAGGTTTTATTTTCGAACCAAATCATAACGTGTTAAAGTGTTTGACACACGTTTACACTTCAGATCCCACCTGAAACACCTCGGAGAAAAACCTCAGAAGCTTTTAATAATCATACACAGAAAAAAAGGATTTTTGGGTGTCGTAGCCTTTATTTAATTATTCTTTTAAATTTTACAAAATAAATCTAAATTTCTAAACTACTAGAATTTACTAAATAAACAATACACATAATATTTTATCTCAATATTACTGTACAAAAAAAGTAAATGCTAATATTATTTTACCAGTAATATTTAAGTGCTTTTTCTGGACAGCACATAAACATGAATGAATTAAGTAACTTCTACTCTTCTGGGCTAAAACTGAGGGTGCATGCACACACAAAGGCTGCTGCTCCTCATTCCCTT